CAGCCCTCCTTGTTTGATGAGCAAAGAACTGAGAAGCATTTGTCCTGAAGCTTCTTGATCGATGCATACGGGGCCGCCTTCGTCAGAGCGTCAGCTGTCATGTCACAGGATGGAATGAGTTTGACATCGATTTCGTTTGTCTTGAATTTTTCCCGCAAGCTTTTAATCTTTATGTCCAGGTGCTTGGTTTTAGAATTGGACCCGAAGTGTTTCAGTTTTTCCAACAGTCCCTTATTATCGATGTGAAACAACGTGGGCGCAAGCTTCTTTGCCCACAGTTCCTCAATCAGAAAGGTCAGCCACTGACTTTCCTGTTCCCCGTCAGACAGCACGTTCATCTCCGATTCAGTTGAGGAAAGGGTGATGTTCTTTTGCTTTTTGCTGTTCCAGAGTATTGGACATTCCTTCCAGAAGGCTAGAGACCCACTTTGGGACAGGCGGGTTTCTAGATCTTCAGCCCATGTGGCATTGGTGAAGAAGTTCAGGCAATCAATCAGTGCATCAGGATTAGGTTGTAGCCGTAGTCCTAGGTCTTTAGTCCCTTTTAGGTACTTCCAACAGTGCAGGACCTCCTTCCAGTGACTGAGACCTGGCCGTTGGTTGAACCTTGATAAAATAGATACCGCAGAGGCTAGATCCGGCCGGGTTCTGCAAGACAGGTAATTGAGCATACCGGTGAAAGAGCGATAATTTATATTCAGCTTCAGAAATTCTTCATGATCCTGATCACTGGCGGTCTTCAGTTGCACTGCAGGAGTCAAGGGGGTCTTCACCAGTCGGCATTCCGTCAGGTCTAGCAGTTCCAATCCCTTCTCAATCAGCGCTGGTTGGGACAGTTCAATCATGGTGTCGGATATTTGAAGATTCATTCCTAGCAACGTGTCAGGTTCATGAGCCGATGAATTAGGGAAACGGGTAAGAAATAGTTTTTCAAATTCATCTGTCCTTCCAACGACAACTAGATCATCAACATGGAAGAAGATGAACGAGTTCCGATCCTCGTGTACAAAGAGGCAGGCATCCGAGACAGAGGGCACGTAGTTGATTTCTTCAAACCACGCCGTAAGGGTTTCATACCAATTCTTCGGTGCCTGCTTGAGTCCGTACAACGATTTCACAAGCTTCAAGTAAGGAGCCGTCCTTTTTGAGCCCTCCGGAGTCTTTATGAAGATTTCTTCCTCAAGGGGAGCAAATAAGAAGGCGCTCTTAACATCAAACTGACGAATAGGGAGCTTGAGATCGATGGCCAGTATGAGCAGAGCCAACAGTGAAGGAAATTTTCCTGTCGGTGCGAAGGTTTCGAAGAAGTCTTCTCCAAACGTTTGAAGGAATCCTTGAATGCAGAGGCGAGCCTTCTGCTTCTCGGGAGATGAGTTTGTAGCAGGTTTAGTCTTAAAAACCCACGTGTGTCTCAATGCTTTTGGGGGAGTAGTGAAATGATCGAGCCAAACCTCGTGGCGTTCTATATTTTCGAGCTCATCATCCACAGCCCGTTTCCATCCTTCCGAGTTGGGACCGCTGACAGCTTTCTTGAAGGACTTAGGATCTTCCGTAGTAAAATGAGAATATTTGACCGGTTTCACCTGGATGGTGCGGTCCCGAAGAACTCGGCCACCATCAGATTGAGGTACAAGGTCTTGCGCCACGATTAAATCATCATCAGAGTCATCAGTCTCATCCTCGGGAGTAAGCGGTTGATCTTCTTCTTCTTCCCTTCCGGTAGGTTCATCTTCCTCTTCTTCCTTGACCTTCATTCCTTCCTCAGGAATTTCCCTTCTTTCGTCGCCTACTTGTTCGGGGGTTTTGACCAACAATTCATCATGGTAGGCAGGAGAGGAGGAGGAAGGTTTATACTCCAGAAAATCGACATTTTTAGTTTCCACAATGTGTCCGTCGTCCCGTAGAATCCGATATGATTTGAGTTCGGCATTGTAACCTATCAATCTACCTAGTTCACCCCTCGGATCAAGCTTTCTTTTCTTCAGATTCGAAGAGATCAGGGCGACGGGATTGCCTAGTGGATGAAAGTAGTTCAGGGGAATTGCCTGTTGTTTGAACAATTCATAGGGAGACTTTTTACTCTTGTGCGTGGGCACTTGGTTGAGAGTGAGTACACTAGCGCTGAGTACTTCGTGCCACAGATTTTGTCTGAGCCCGGAATCAAGAATGTTTGTCCTGAGCGACTCAAGAATGGTCCGATTAAACCGCTCTGCCAAGCCGTTCTGTTGAGGAGTGTAAGGATCGGAAAACCTTTGTCTTATCACGTTTTCCAAGCAGTGCTTATTCAGCTCAGAATTGGTGAATTCAGTTCCTCGGTCGGAGTGGATGACAGAAGGGTAGTACCCTAGACGCTTGGCTTCTACATCTATTGCTCGTGTCAGTTTTGCGAAAGTCTCTGACTTTTCAGTTAAAGGAATAGCTGCGCAGAATCTAGTATTGGAGTCCACAATAGTGAGGATGTATCGATGTTGTTTTTGAGACATGGGTTCGATTGGTCCGATTAAATCTAGGTGTAATTCTTCAAAAGGTCTTGATGCAGAAGCTGTCCGATGATTAAACGATGCTTTTGTGATCTTGACCACTGCACAAGAGCTGCGGATTTCGGGTGCTTTGACAAGTATACCCATCTTGTTCCTAATTCGACCATAGCTCACGTGACCAAGGGATTTGTGAATCATCTCAGCAGTGCTCAGATGCGAGAATTGTTTCACAGGTTCAAGTTTGAGAACCGGTAGGTTGTCGTGGTAATGACCTTTCAAATAAGGTTGCTCATTCTTAGTGACAGAGAAATGATTGATATTGAAATTTACTTTGCATTGATCGAGTAACAAGTGACGCAAAGACAGCAGATTGATAGAAAGATGAGGAACATAGAGGAAATCATGGAATGTGAGAATCCGATCACCGTATTTCAATGAGATTGAGCCTTTTCCTTCAATCTTCAGGGTGTTTTCTCCACAGCTCGTGTTGATTAGGCCTTTTTCTGTTTCGTCTAAGGAGGTGAACAGTTGCTTGTCAGAAACCACGTGTGAGGAAGAGCCAGAGTCGAGGACAAAAGACTCCGGATGACTGAACGAGAAGGAAGAAAAGCTCCTAACATTGTTTTCTCGGTTCTTTCGTTCATAGTAAGCGATCCGTTTTTCAGGGTACACAAACCAACAGTCATCAGCAGGGTGCGACACAGCGAAAGGATTATGAGCACCGGTTCTACATCGAGTATCTTCTTTGGTGAACATAGTGGTGCCGATGGATTCGCTCGTTCCAGAGGAGGTCGCCTTCTGCTCGTTGAGATGGATTTCAAGGTGTTTAATCAGCTTGTCGGGTTTGATATCTTCACCATCCTTAGAATGAGTGATGCTCTGCTTGATGCGATCCAGACTGTTTGGCAAGCGACGAAGTAATTCGTAGGTAAGAATATCGTTGGGCAGGATAACGCCAACGTCCTCCATCTTCTTGAGACTAGATCGTACTTCGGTGATGAACTTGTCTATGTTGCTAGAGTCAAAAGAGATGCTCGCGAATTGATTGTAAACTCGAGACCGATTGGAAGGTTCGGAAGACATGAAACGCTCCATGATGCTCTTCCAGAGAAGAATAGCATCACCTTCATTAGTTGAATTCACCACATTGTTGTGGGTGGCTTGAGAGATTTTTGCTAGCAGAATGGCGCAGATGATAGTGTTGTCAGTGTCATCCAGAGCTGGCTCGCCTTCGAGGATCTGATCTTTGACTCCTCCAAGTTTGAAGAGGGCGGTAATGCGAGTCTTCCAGCTGGAGAAATTATCCTCGGTGAGAACAGGTATAGCCTCAATCGTCGTCTTGAGTATAGTGGGGTTTACAGCATCCATTTTGACGGTAGATAGTGTCTGGTTTCGGTGAGTGTATCGGTTGAGTTCGATTTCCTTTTTCGACTGTTAATCGTGAAGAAATGAGGATTGAATTTCTAAGAACCGAAAACCAAACTAAAAGAAAAGAAATAAGTTGTGAGAAACAGATCAAGAGATATGAAGAAAAGAAGAGATAAAGAAATAAGAACTCGGCATACCACTATTGTAAATGGAAAGAGTGGATGACGATTGAGGATTTTGTTGACAAGCGCGCTAGTAAAAGCAGAGATTCTGAAAGAGAGAGAGAGAAGCAAACAAACAACATTCAGTGAATTGATCATCAAACAAAGAAAGGAAAGGTGAAACAATGATGAAGAATAATAGAGAAAGAGAAACAAACAATAAGAGCAGAGCAGAGTGTTTATTTAGGAGCAAGGGATATTTTTGAGTGAGCAATTTTTGAGTACCAATGTAGACTTGATAAGCAGAGAGAAGAGAAAGAAAAAGAATGAGCTGAGGGTTCTTGGTTGGGAGTCGGAATGGTCAGGGAACATTACACTGGTATTTTTATCAGTATCGGCAAGTTGAGGAAAATCGGAATCTTGAGGGTTTGAAGAGGATCAAATCTTGTCGAGTCTTGACGAGATTGAGGATCAGGAAGGAGAGCGAGGCCAACCGGTTATTTATGCCTGGTTGGTCTCAACCCTAACCGGTTGATTGGCTAACATGGGTTTAGCTTGAGCGCTACTGGGTTACCGCAGTAATCTTCTGTTTCACCGATATTTCAACACAAGACTTCCTAATCAAGGAAGAAGTTGACTTGACAGCGAGAAGGGTAAAATCAAAGGATAATATTGCTGATGAACTGTCAAGAGGATTGTCGGGACACCTCAAAACGGAAAACAGGGTCTATTTCGAGATACCGAAAGAGTGGGATCCATACCTTTGCCATGCATAGCTCTAATGTAACCTGTACCAGTTGTAGGTAGCTATATTGATCGTGGCCCATCGCCGTTTGTGCTCCTTCTGTTTTATTTTTCTGTGTCCGTTTTCCTCTTTCCATTTTTACACTTGATTATTCCGTACTCAAATACTGCATCCAAATCACAAATAAAGCTTTCTTTAAACCGGCAATTATAAATCACAAGAGAAGCTTTCTTTAAACCGACAATTATGATAGATGCATCGAGTGACGTAGTTATTATAGGTAGCGAGCCTTTGACAGTAGGCCATTTGAATAAAATCAAGGCATTCGCAGCAAACGGCACGGTAGCTTATCCAATATCGACCTTGAACGCACACCTCTTGACAGGATGGAAATGGAATACTCTCGTCGGCTATAATGCTGCAGTAAAAAAGTTCATTTTCTTTAAAAATCTGTCGGGAGATCACCGATTTAAATTACCGGCGACAGTTAAAGACATAGAGGACTTCTGCTTTTGGGCAGGAAGGAACCTTTATCTCAATAATTCGTATAAAATATCTTCTGGTTCAATTAAAAAATATTTGTGTGGTCTGAAAGCGTGGCACACATTTCATAGCGAAGTTTACCCAGACATATCAGATAAAAGGATCGAACTATTACTCAAAGCGTCAGCTAAAGTCGACGCAAACTTACCTACGAAACCGAAGAAACCACCGATCATGTTAAAACATCTGATCTGGTTATCGAACACGATGTTCCCAGGCAGTGATATAGATAGGACGATCATGGACCTCGCAATTGTTGCTTTCTGGGGGATGGCGCGTTTAGGTGAATTAACTTACAAAAAAACGATGGGCGGCCTTAATAATCAAGACTCGGTTCTAACGTCAGACGTCCGGATAGTCCAATCGGCTATTGGAGAGAAAGTAATACTTACTGTACGAAATGCAAAGACGGCTCAGCCTGGAAAACCTCAAGAAATCATATTACATAGCTTAAAGAATATGCTATGCCCGGTGTTAGCCATAAAGCGACGATTACGAGAAGCAAATGGGGAAGACACGTCTTTATTCGGTTTCAATCGCGACGGGGAACGGAAACACATTACCCGGTCGATTGCGGTAAACCGGATCAAACTGGTGCTCAGAACTGGTGGTTTCGAAGGCCTTTTCGGGCATTCTTTCAGAGTTGGTGGTGCATCTTTGCGTTACGCATTGGGGACGCCAGTAGATGAAATCTGTCTCCTCGGGAGGTGGGTTTCTAATTGTTATAGACTTTACATTAGAGCATACAGCGATGAGGATACAGTAGAGAGCAAGAGAATCTTAGAAGAGCTGAACGAGTTGTGGTGCGAGGATTAATTTGTGTAACTGTCTACGATGAGTAGGAGAGATAGGTTTAAGTCACTGGGCTCAGGCTCCTATCATCAATAGAAATTTCCACCTGAGTTATCAGGCGCATTTGTTTCTTAAACCTACTTCTTCCAATTATTTTTAGTAAAATTACTAAAATTATAAATAGACTCAAAGAAAGAAAAAGAAAATAATTTTCTTCTATACACTATAATTATTCCCCGTGGTCCCTAAATATCTTTTCCCTTTTGTTAAATATAATCATTTAAAAAAGAGTAAAAGAAATTTATTTACCACCCATACTCGGGTAGATGGAAGAACTTGTTCTATATCTACCCTAAGGAATGTGCTGCGGCACATTCCTGAAAAAGAGTACCACAGGAATGATAAGAGTGCAAAATGGATGTATGACACCTGACCTAGGCACAGAAGGAAGGTGACGGGGTCCATGTGCACGAGTAAGATTGGCCCGAGACAGGCACAGAATAATCCCTGTCTAGTCCAAAACACAATAGGGATTATTCCATGCCGTTGAAAGTATCTGTAGATTTATAGACCTAGTATCGCACAGCTAGAAGAACTTTCTCCCGCCACTCCTTCAATCATCTCCAAATCTTACTTATCATCTTCCTGGAAACTTTCTACTTACAAAAATTTTCATATAAAAATTTTTCTCGACCTCCCACCCACCCTAGAAAAGAAGTAGTTTCATTTGCGCGTCAGTATTTAGCGCATTTGTTTCTTAAACCTACTTCTTCCAATTATTTTTAGTAAAATTACTAAAATTATAAATAGACTCAAAGAAAGAAAAAGAAAATAATTTTCTTCTATACACTATAATTATTCCCCGTGGTCCCTAAATATCTTTTCCCTTTTGTTAAATATAATCATTTAAAAAAGAGTAAAAGAAATTTATTTACCACCCACACTCGGGTAGATGGAAGAACTTGTTCTATATCTACCCTAAGGAATGTGCTGCGGCACATTCCTGAAAAAGAGTACCACAGGAATGATAAGAGTGCAAAATGGACAAGGGTTGATCCCCCTCGGTTGTTGACAATGGCTTACCAAACGTGCTCAACCCGGACTATGCATACATCTCTGATGACTCGCCTTGCCGAAAGAATGCCAATGGAGAGACCTCTTTCTTGAAAGCTGAAGGGGATCAATTATACG